CTTCGCGTGTAAAACCTTCTGTGTAAAAGCGTCTGCGCGTAAAAGTTTCTATGGTTAAAGGAAAAAACTTCTGTGTGTAAAAGCTGCTCTGTGCAAAAGCTTATGCGCGTAGATTTTTTTTTGTGTGTAGGACGTCTGTGTGTAAAAGCTGCTCTGTGTAGTGGCTTCTCTGTGAAAAAGCCTCTCTGCATAAAATAGTTTGGCTGTCTGGCTGTAACAGCATAGATGGTTTGCGAACATATCTAACCCAGCTAGATTTTACTGACATCAAAACCACCCTGTGGGGAAAAGCAGCTGTAGCAAGAGGAAATGTATGATATTTCATGTTCATCGGTTGTCATTCATCACCATCTTCAAGGTCATTCGTATTCATCATCACATCTTCTTTTGTATTATCTTCTTCTCTTCTTCCCCCTGCTTCTTTCAGGCCTGACTGTCGTCTAGTTTCTGTTAGGGCTGTGGGACATATTGGGAAATGTTTCGCACCTAAACCCAACAACCGGTTTTGATATTCTCCCCATGGGTGGCCAATACCCATTCTGTATTCTTGGTTGCCAAGGGCAATAAAGCAAACTTTTTTAAACATGTATAACATATGTGCCACATGATTCAAGTGCAATGTATTGGAGAAACAAGTGGTTCCTCCACACCCTGGTGAGTTGCTCCAAAGCCTCGTGAATTTCAAGCGCTTTGTGAATTGCGCTAACAGCGCTAACACATGTTGAAAACCCTTTCGGACTTACACGATTTATTCGGTCCGGATTTCAATTTAAAGTATTTTAAAGTTAGAAGCGCATACCTTGCCAGTGGCTCCCGGCACTGGCTGAACAAAGGCAATACTCCGGAACTAGCGTTGTGCGAATTTCACGCTTACCTGTGCTTACCTTTGCTCAGCAGTTCCACAAAAAAGGGACGGCACTTGTTCCTGCCCTGCAAAAAGGTTGAGCGCATTGGTGCAAGCAAATCATTTGCTTGAACAAAAGGTCAAAACTATCCAGGACACCTCGAAAATATCAAGTTAAAAGCGCCACGCAAAATTGTTATGCGCCGCAAACAAATTGACAATCCGAGACGCCAAACGGTCGCGAGAACCCCCCTGCTTCCGCGCCTGAGCCTCGGCAAATGAACCGAAGGCAAACAATAAACCTCAGCGCAGCAGGGTTCCGGATGTGATGGTGCAGACCGTGCAGTCCTGGGCAGCTTCATATCTTCCTCTGCAAAATACAGATCTGCCAAAAAAACCATGGGTGCTGACTTTATGTCTTGCGCCTTGGAGATGTTTTGAGGCATGTCTGCACCTTTTGCAACTGGCCGGAAATCCCAGACTGTGCCAAGGAGTTATTTGTGGCTGCACTTCATTGACCCAAAACATACCAAGACCAAAGCCCCAAGTCTCCAATGCTTGGACGCTGAGTGACAACATGCGCCATCTGCAGGTTGGGTAAACAGGCAGGATGCTACTTCCCATGGCGGGGCTGGCGCACTGGCGCACGCCCGTATCAACGTTGCCGGACTCCTAGCGCTGCATGAATTAAGGACTGCTTGGGCCCAATTTCCAACATCGAACGGATGCGGCCCATCGCTGGCTCTGTGACCTCGTGACCTGGGCTTCGTTCGTTTCTCATGGGCCATGCATGGCCATGGTGGGCTGGGCATGGCAGGGCCGATTCTGGTCAAATTTTGATTTCAATCTTGCCACTGAAATGCTTTGGTCTTGCCACAGTTTTTGCTACGATGAAACTTGCCGACTGTAGCTGAATCGTATGTATTGGGCGGGCATTGGGCGAAGATGTGAGGAGAGCTGAGGAGGAGCGAGAATAGTTGAGCATTGAGAAAGGTTGAGGATGAGGTGAGAAAAGAATTGAGAAGATCCGAGACAACACCGAAATGCCGCAACTCCTATGGGCAAAACTTGTCCTTCACTCCTGTAGTAGAACATTTACTTTCTGCTGGAAGTCTGCCACTGGCCTTGTGCGGGCTTTTTTTATGATCTTGTATGTTTTACAATGAAACTTCCGCCCCCATGCTACTTGTGGGCTACATATACTTGACTTTGCTTCGCTTCCCTTGATCAGGGAATCTGATTTGCTGCAGGCAAGGGTAACCTTTTCGCTGTCTGCGCTGATCTGATTCAGAAATCACCGACGTCTGGCTCCCCTTTTCCGCCAGAAATTTCGTGTGAATCCTGCACGGGCTCACAAAAGACAATAGGTATTCCAACAAACACGACGGCTTACCCCTCACTCTTTGAGGTCCTCTTCTGAAGTCTGCGTCCCCAGAGCAAGATCCACTTCCCTGCAGGCATCTGCCATCACAAAATGATAGATGCAACATGAACCCGTCGAGGAATATGCTGCCTCAGAATCTGCCGGGCTTCCAAGATGGCCTGAACCTGGTACAGGCAACAACTTCTCCAAAGCTTTCAATGCGTATCGAAATAACATGACCATGTCACGCGATGGCCCATTCCCATGGGTGATGTCATATGGTGCTTCTGATGCTGCATGTTTCAAGCTGGTGAAAATCCAGCTTCGGTTTGGGCGGCCTCTGGTGAGCTGCTTTCAGGCTCCACGGTTACATCCTCCATGATTTCCGATGATTTCCGAAATCAGCAATCAAAATGGTGGATAACCTGAGGATGCACAAGCCTTCAAACAGACTGTCCCGGCAACAGACCCCAAACAATGTCAAGGAGGGCGCCTGCAGAAAAAAGCAATGACAAGAACCTCTACAAGATCTTCGCACAAGGCCTCCGAAAGTACCGCGCAAGATCGTCATGAGCAGCATGAGCATGAGCAAGACCCCGAAACAAGAACCTCCTAAGATTGCAGCCTACAAGATCCTACAAGAGCTTGCATAGAAGCAGCTCTGCATATCGTCAAGATAGTCATGGGACCATGGGAGGACCCAAAGAAATCCACCAGGATCAGGACCTTCCAAGATCTCTTTGCCCCAAAGACCGCGTCCCGCAAGAGTTTGCCGATGCAAAATGGAAAGGGAGCAAAACCTGCTGGAAATGCCACCCATGATTTATGATGATAGATCTAAAGGGGTTCCAACCTCTCGAAACTTGGGGAAGCAACAACGACGTCGATAACACATTCCCATTCCTTGTTGCTACGCATTTCGTGACAATGACATGTTTCTTTTGTACTTACTGGACAGCTCTATATAAATAGATATAAATAGTTACGTGCGCCCTTGACATCCCACGCCTAACTCTTGCTACTGTTCTTTGAATAAAGGTGAGGTGGTTAGACTGTAGTTCAAATCAAACAGGATGTACTTAAAAAGTAGCTGCAGTCGATCGCTTACACTTCCAAAGCATTCACAAACCCGCTGTTTACTGAGTGTGTTTCCAGCGAGACTTCCTTCAAAATGGAAGATCGAGGGTGGCAAAATTAGAAGGACATGCCGGCGCGAGCCCTGGATCAACCCAGCCTTTAACACCCCTACAGTGCCGTAAGAACCCCATGGTATGAACACACTGCAGACAGAATCGCTCTATGTAGCTATGCGTCATATTATTTGAATGATGACAGCAAGGATCATCATAAATCTGTGGTCCGTTTCTGATGCGATCAAGCAAAGAGGCCGCATGCGAATGCCAGAAAGACCAAAGGGTGGAAATGAGATGCGATCAGCGCACACGCGCGCCAATGCTCCTGTGAATCCGCCAGAAAGTCCCGCAACTCGACGGCATATCTAGGCGAAGGGTGAAGCCAGAAACACATGGAAACACATAGAAACACAACACCTTCACTGTTTTCAATCCTTCTCACAAATACCTTTCTTCGTTGTCCTCATTTGCACCTTGTCTGATTCGGTTTGTCAACGTTTGTACTGAAAAGGACTCGAATGGCAATTGCAGTGTGTTGGAGACAGCTCCAACTGAATGTTTTTTTTGGTGAAAGGCCCAGATGTCTCAGTACTCTAATCACATCCAAAATGAGGAAATGACAGCGATGCTGCCATGGCACTTCTGAAGCCGTTGCCGGGAATCCGGAATCACAGTCAAAGTATCCTTAAGTCGTCAGGGTGTCGATGTGCTCAAAAGGAATGATTTCATGACTCAGCAGAGCTGCATTCAGCACTTCCATTTGCTTCTTGATGTCTGCCTTTCCAGGCGCAATCTCAGAAAAAATCCCGTCCATGGAATTTGAGTGGGGTCTGTGGAAAAAAATAAGGATAAGAGAGGCCAGCGCCTCAACGCCAGAAAAAAAGGAAGGTCCCACGTCTTCAGCGCACAGAAAAAAGATAGATAGAAAGTGCCAGTCTTGAAGCCAAATTTTGACACAGTGCAACAACAAGCTTTGGTACGGCAAATCTTTTCAGAAGGAAGTCGATGAATGGAGCAACGTTCAAAAAGCCTCTGTCGCACCTTTCACTAATCATTCAAGAATGTTGGCCACTGCTCAATGTTTGGGGCATAATTCATTTTGATAATTTTGGTTATACTCATTTGGATCATGCCAAGTCTGCGATACATCGATGCCTCCTCCTTCCCTTCAGCTTTCATAGCTTCGATCTTCGAACGCTGCACGCCCTGCAACTCTCATGCTCCAACATTGCGCAGTTGCCCAAAGCATGCAAAAGGAAGACACGAGATTTGCCACAGCCATTGTCACAGTTGGGCACTGTGTTGCAAAGTGCATTTGCATGGCTGAAGCTTTCAAGGAATCAGCTTCACTTCGTCCTACTTTTTTTGGGGACAAGCATGCTGTTCGATTGCCAGTTGCCGCACGCGTGACCTGTACACGGCAGGCGCCGATTTTGGCGAGACTCTGTGCATTGATGCTGTCCAAGTGGACGGCTCCCAGCAAGCCCGGGAGCTCTTCGGAGCTATTCGAATCGTTCGAGCTATACGTAGCGACGTAGTGCAAAAACAGAGGTGAAGGTTTTCCCTCGTCCCTCGTCTATAGACAACATGGACAACTTCCAAAGCAAACTTGGACAAATCCTTGGAGAATGAGCAAACAAGGGTTGTTCAAAGTTTAAGTGACACCAACGTTTTATCACTTTGGAGTGCTGTCTTACGCAGCTGCAAAGAGCTGTGTAAGGTAAAACGTGCCATTTGAAGCACGTGCAGCACCAATGCCGCAAAGATTGAACCGGCCACTTAGATTCCTGCAGAGGCCCAAGATGCATTATGCTTGCATGCCGCCTTTGTGAGTCTGTCTTCTTGGTGGATAAAACAGATGATATGGGTATGGATTGAATACAGTTGCAAACCTATGACCTTGATGAATCAGCAATTCATGACGACTGTTAAAACTGATGTTCCCCTAACCCGTATCCACATGTCATCCACATGTCATCACAGTCTCTTTTCATGTCCGGGCGAATTGATCCAGCCCTTGACAGCAGCTCCAGCAACATCAGCAATGCCATTGTTGAGGGCCTTACAAGGTCCATCCACAATTTGGGCAACATATCACCAAAAGCGGTAGTTTAAAATGTTTAAACACAAAGAATTTCATTATCTCATCTGCAAGTCAATACCCAACATGTCAAGCTTGAAATGCAGAGCACGGGGCGTCTGCCAAGCTCTCCAATATCATCGCATTCGCAGATCAGGTTGCCGTGCAATCGTGTTTTGAAAGTCCTTTCCGCTCCGAGGCTCCAGGACATCGGATGGATCTTGGGACCCCAACGAGATTCTCCGCAGCAGATTGATATGCCACAGGATACGCACGAAAGCGTTGATCCACTCCGTCATGGCCTAACAAAGCAAAACTCGCGGGCCACCAGATTTCGAAGACCTGCCTCATTTTTTTTTAAAGAACGCCATGTTCCACATTTGTTTCTTTCAGCTTGCCTTATATTGAGATTTATTGCACCATTTCTGGTGAACCCGATATGATGATAATTTTCCCCATAATTCTCGTATTGTTTGTTCGTAAATCCTGGTAAATCCACCATGGTTAAAAACACCCATTTCGGGACAAACCCAGTGGATGCAGTTGCTGCTATGGGACTAAATGGAGCAGCGCCCGAGGCCATCTGCTCAGCATGTTCTCGAGCAATGCGCGCAATACCATCGTTCCAGCGTAAGGGAGGAAGGCCCTCGACACGACATAACGAAATCACCCATGTTTTTTCAGTGGGCATTGGTGGGGTCAGCATTTTTGGAACCAAAAATAGGTCGACATTCATTGGGTTCTGCTCTGGACCTTCAGAATGAGTCAGTTTAATCTGTTGAAATGGACCGCTGATGTTTCCAGCCTTGGAGGCGCGGTAGCGATTGGTACCATCTAGTGCTTGCCTGGCGATGAGTTCTGGGTCCTTGGCACGGTTGCTACAGTTGGTACACTTGGTACAGTACTTGACAATGAAATACACGATAAACAAAAACATGAAATCCGATGAAATCCGATGAACATGAGTGAAATGCGTGACATCTGAAATCACCCGAGGACTTAGAACAAGATTGCCAGCAAACTGCTCCAAGCTAAGGATTCCACATAGCTCCGTGCCACCAGTGTTGAATAGCTGGTGGCGGGGGCTGACTGATGTGAAAGCCGGTACCTGGGAGACGGATAGGATGGACATAGACATGGACACAGTCGACATCACTTGACAGCAGTCGACAGTTCGGGCACTCGTCAGCATAGCTGGGCATTCCAGCGATCTCCTCTTCAACTCGCATCTTCTCCAGGTCATTCAGGGTGAAGTGCTGTCAAGTGCTGGGGAAATCCGGAAATGATTGGATCTTAGCTGCTGTTAGCTGCTGCTGACAATAGAAAGTCAGGGTAAGGACGGTAAGGACGATAAGGACGATTTACCAGGTTGTCACACAGGTCCTATGTGGGCCGATCACTCCACAGCGACTCAGGGGAATCCGTACATGTCTTCCTCATTTCTTCTTGATTTGTATAGGATAGTTCTACATGGCACAGGCACATCTGTTTGGGTTTGTCCAAAAAAAACAAAGCACCTCACACCTCAAAATCCAATGTTTTACCACTCCAATTGTTGTAGGATAAGGTATATCATGGTACCTCCACTTGATGGGGCCCACAATCTTCCACTGTGGCCTGGGCTCGTCGGCCGGGTACAGCACCGGCCGGACTGGCTGGTCTTGCGAATGCGCCACCAACCCCGCGGTTGCCGCGATTCTTCCGGGCTTCTTGGAAGCCTCGTGGGTCCTGGAAAATCAACCAATCACTGGCATGTGAGGCATCTAACGCGTGACAAACAGGGAAACAAACAGATGCAGTGACAAAGAACACCAAATCTTGCCACAAAAATAATGCTTCCATCATCTGGCAGCTCAACATATCTGTGGTTTCATCTCCTTCAAGCGCATCTCAGTCAGTGCTGCAATGTGCTGCCGCCTGGCATCTGTCCTCCAGAAGCCAACGCTGGTATCTTGAATTTCGTTGTAACAGAGAAGTTACAGCCGACGTCAACAATCAGGTGGGATAGCACCGCATTGACATCTCTACATCATCTACCCTCTGGTTATGTCAAAATAGCTATTGAAAATGGCCCAGTCGAAATAGTGGATTTTCCCATTAAACATGGTGATTTTCCATAGCTTTTTGTATGTTTAACAGAGGGTAACTGAATCTACATATCAGGTGCCAGTACCAGTACCACTCGTCACGAGCTCCACTCCTTGACAGTGTAGGATAGCCGCCTGTGCCAGCTTGCACCGGAGGTCTGCTGGCCTCCGCCAGAGTCGAACGTCAAAGAACTAAACGTTGATGTCTCGAACACAAACTGTACATGAATTAAATTATTAAATTGCTTCTGTGAATGTAATACACATAATAATATCTATATATATCTCTATATATATATTAATATCAATATATATATATTATATTAATATATATATATATATATGTATATATTATAGATTCACCATGGCCAGTAGCAATCTCTGCTCTAGACAATCATCAAAGCCATCATCTTTCACTGTGGGATCGATGGATCTTTGTCTCTGAGCCTGGGCCACTTTTGGTGACAAGGCTTCTCCAGCATCATGCAAGGCCTTCACATGTCACAACCGTCACAACCGTCACAACCATTGGTTTGTCCATGTCTACATGCACAGTCACACAATGTAATACAGTAACTGAATCAACTTAAGATCTCAAAATTATTGCGTACACACGTATTGTCACATACTCATATGGTCTCATGTTACTCATGTTTGATAAAGAGTACACACATACTTCCTCTTCCCATTCATGTACACATGACACAATCAAACCAAATATAAGGTTGAGCGGTTGAAGAGTCAGGACGAACAAAGTGTCCTCAGATACTGGAGACAAACATGCTGAACAAAATCAAAAGGAAGAGTTAACATCTACTACGAGGTCCAACTCTCTTCCACAGCTGTGGTGTGTCCTTTTCGCAAACAAGACTGGCCAATGTAATTCGAACGTGCTGTTTTCCAGCCTCGAAGACACGCTTGAAGGGCTCCTGGTTTGGATCCCCCCTGAAGATCAGCACCGCCTGGTGAAGTTGGATCGAAACATCAACGGCCACCACGGCATCATCCACCAAGACTCTGAGCTCCCTGCACCAGCATCTTCCTCAAAACCCGCGTACGACCTGAGGGATGCTGTGGAACTGTTGGAGTTGGAACCGCTGCTCGACACTGAGAGAAGGGCATCAAAGCTAGTGCCTGTGGGTGACAGCCCACCTCCAAAGGAGCCCCAAGGAGCCCCACACGGTTTGGTACGCTTTCTTTGTTTTGCGAAGCAAAAACCACTGAGTCAGCACTTCTGAGATATCATAGACTTTTTCTTCAAGGTTTCCATCAGCTGGATCGGTCCCTCACATTTTCCCAGGTGAGTTGGATGGCTCCGGCCATCTCTGGCCTCCGCTGCGAATCTCGCGTTGCCTTTCCGCAACTCTCTGAACTTTGGCCTTCCGTCGTCAACGGCAGCTGATGGGAACATGTTTCGGTTGGGAAAGTACCCTCTGGTAAACTAACATAGCTATTAAACATGGCCATTTATAGTGAGTTTTCCCATTAAAAATGGTGATTTCCCGTAGCTTTTTGTATGTTTACCAGAGGGTAACTGATTAAAACTGATTACAAACCAGGGATGGCTCATTGGAGATTTGTCAATCAATCTGTGCTCGCGTTTGATTGTTCCTTCGTGCGACGGATACGAGTTCACAGAAAAGGAGTTGCTGTGGGCGAATCTGTTAATCTGCCGGCCATTGTGTATCAATTAACATTCTGCATCCTTCGCTTCCACCACCCTTACTATACTATCGTAGAAGGCAGAAAAGACCTCATGATAAATGAGTCAAGTTGGGAAAACGGTTTTCACGTGACTAGCACAACCTCATTTTGCCAAGGGGCTCTGATGGTTTTTCAACAATGCGCGACAAGATGCCGCACAAAGTCTTGACCTTGACAGGCTGACAGTGCCGTTTGGGGTATCTACAGTATCACAATTCGATGTTTGAATCTGACAATTTTATTCAGTTAAGCTGGGATGCTGAGAGACCGGGCACAAACTTTCATCTCATTGTCAGGGAGGCCCTAGGTGGTACCACACTTTCATGTCTGTTATATGTCTGTCATCTGTGGCTGGTTAAGATCCAGGAGTCTCATGGAATCTAGGTCATCAAGATGTCATCAAGATGTCTAGGTCTCAAACAAACAGATCCTGAAATGCTTGGCCCTGAAATCTTCCTCAGCTTGGAACAAAGAGGTCTGCCAGCAAGGCATCTAAATCTTCCTCTTCCTCTTCCTCGACAACCACTTGTCGGACTTGTCGGTTGGCCTGCACCGTATGATGCTTACTGCACTCTGAAAGCACTTCTTTACTAAATCAAGGAGTCAAGGAGGGCAGCGAAGGCCAGTGGTGTGATGTGTTGTGTATTATTTGGTGCCAGGTGTTCGTTGAAATGATGTATACATCTGACGCACTATCTTCATGAGGTTCAAACAGAAAAACAATGACTCATAGCGGTGGAAACGAATCAAACTTTGCCAACTTTGCCACCTTTGCCTCCTGCCTCTGTTTCGTTCTCAACACAATCTGACGTGCACACTGGCTCGAAGCTTGTCACCGCCTGACTGCCATACCACACTTGACAGAGGAAATGTAAATGGCTTTGCGGCTTTGCGCATGGGTGTCTTTGCACATCACAGGCTCAACAAGATTGAGTATGCTGACAGCTGCTGACAGATGCTGACAGGAGTACGCTCTCATTCTACCAATTTTGATTATTAAAATTATGATTCCATTCAGCTTCGCAAGCTTCCTATGATCCCAGCCTGAGGTCCAGTACTGGCCATTTCCAGCAGTGCAGCCAACGACATATCTGCCAGTTGCTGTCGCCTTGGGTTCATGGTGAGAGCCAGGCATCCAATGTCCAGTGAGAGTTCCAACATGTTCCACCGTGAGTTCCAACAAGTAAAAGGATGCTGCACTTCTCAGGAAAAACTGACAGGGATATGTCGCCATTCCATGCCAAAGAATGAGGGTGATGAGGATGAGGATGATCATGGATGATCAAAGGCTGTGCGACTTGGGCCGCTGGCGAGCAATCTGCATTTCTGCGGAAGAGTTGTGAGACGGCGCCCTGCAACAATCCACCGCAACCAGCGACAACATCTGAAATTGGGCCGTAAACCCTGCCCTTCAGCCTCGACTGTATCTGCTGGGATGTCTGGGAACCTAGGATTCATTCGCATTCATGGTGTCCACACTCCACACAATTTCACGGGCTGTGCTTGGCCCAGCCACACTGGTCCCCGAACTACGAAAAGCAACAAAAACGGAGGTTTGTTCCATGTCAAGCAGCATCTCCGCCAATTGTGCAGCAATATCAGCAACTCCACCGGTGGTGGTCTTTCGCCCTATGATTGCAGATCGTTCCTGCATCAACTGCGCCGCTCAAAATGAGTAAGAGACATTGTGGCTTTGAAACTTCAAACGGGGTGCTATAGTTTTTGGGGTCGCTCAAGTTCTGCTCTTGGGTTATACGTGATCATAGAGGAAGTTGGGGATAGCTTCGCAAAATCATGGGGCAAGCATTCAGAACTGCACAGGCCAACATCGCTCATTAATAAGTCACCAAGTGTGAATATATTCGCATATACTGGAAGTAATGGCATCTGGCTCTCAGAATTTGAAGGTCAAAATACGATTAGGGTGATCATCATTTTCCAACATTTTCCCCACCAAAAGCGCAATTTTGGTGCACCCCCTCAGAGACAAAGGAAATTGCTGCAGCTCCTGCGTTTGTTTGCGTCGGTCCGCAGTGGCTTTCAGCTCTTCTCTCCTCGGAGAGTTTTGCTCATTAGAATGGCCATTTGGGGGTATATACATGTATATACCACATTTTCCATCCGCAGTGAATCATCATGGATTTGTCGAATTTCTGGGACGTTTCGATCCATTTTGGCTGAGAGGGATTGAGTCTTGTGATGCGGCCGAATCGCAGGTCAAAATTTCTCATTTGCGCTTTGACCGGTTGCCGCGCACGCATCTCGAGGGAATTCACCCCTGCTGGGCGTTTTTTGAAGCGTGTCTGGGCCAAACAGCAGCCAGAGGCATCACAAACGGTCATTTCGTGTCATTTGGATTGAAGCAAAATCATCATGTCATGATGTCATGATGACATTTCTTGAAACAAACCCTTCCAACCTATGTTTATTTAAAGCCTTACAATCCTATCTTTTGCGAGTTAAGCCCCCCACATTTTGATGCTTCGAGTTGGGCCTGTGGCATCATGTTCATTCATTTTCCCTTGGCACCTCTTCAGCCATGTAGGCTTCATATTCCTGGCGGATTTGGACATCTTTGGAAAGTAATCCTCAGTTTTTAATATGTTTCAATGCTAAACATTCTGATTCATTCTGGTAATCTTGATTTCCTCTAGGTTAAGAACTAGTATCATTTGACATGTTCACAACAATCTCACATCATGAGAAGCTGGCTATCTAATTTGTAAGCACTTCTGTACCCTGTCCAGCCTTTTTCGTGCGCTTCACTGTGCCGACCTGTGAAATACGCAGAGGTTTGGAATGTGGGATGTTGAGGAGTGGTGAGGACACAGGGTCAAAGTGAAGCTTCAAATTCAGACACCAGTTGCGAACAAGAAATTGCCAAGAATTCCAAACATTGCGAGTTGTATATTAATGTTGTGATCCATCCTGAACTGTTTAATATGTTTGATATGTTTGATGCAACATGTACACAGTCCCTGAAGCTTCGGAACACAGTTTCTGCAGCCCAGGGACTTTGATTTGTAGCTGCTTCAAGGATGGGTCCAACGGCATTGCGCTGAGGTCCAAAAAGCGGTTGACGCTTTGACGCAATCAAAAAAACATGGCGATCCGCTTTCTTCAGGATGTCTTATGAGGAAAATTTCGAGAAGCCTTGCTGCCATATGATGCCATTTATTCAAGAAATTTGATCGAGCGATGAGCGTTTTTGGCATGGCGTTGTGGCTGATGGCTGAGGAACAAAATACGAGGTCAAACAAGAAATGGGGCGGTTTTTTCACCGCGGATGCGGTGGTGAATCCGTGGATTGCACCGTGACTCGCAGCTTTTGAAATTCAAAGCGATGAACTGCACGCGTCAAAAGAGGCGCAAGCAGTGCAACGGGCACTGTGGCACGATTGCTCTCTTGGCATACTCTAAGGCATGCCATGAAACAGCGCCTAAAAAAATGAAACAGAAAAACCAATGGAAGAGTCTCAGATCAACTAAGACTCATGTGCATCCTCTTGTCCTCGAGCTTGAATCCTGGCAGTCAGAATTCAGAATCTGTCAGAATCTTCACGGCAGCCAGGGCTAAGCGGCTAAGCGGCTAAGCGGCTAAGCCATGCCAGGCACACAATTTGGCCACGAGACCTGTCCAACCTGTTTGATGGGAAGAGCCAACACCTCTTCCGGTGTCTCCGTGGAAGTACCTCTCAATGTTCAGGAAGAACTGGACAACACCGACAAAACCCTTCAATGAATCTGATTGAATCTGATGAAGAAAACGCGTATCACAATCACAACAACAAACACACCCGAAACCAGCTGAATCAGCTGAAAGCTAAGAGTCTTTTCCGACAAGAAGTCCTTCCATCTGAGGACGCGCGCTCGTAAAACAGAATGTTTTCGTGAAAGTGATCCTCCTTCATCTTCGGGTGCAAGTTCATGGCCGGTCGATAACCATCCTGCGAAAAGGACACCAGATGACCGCAGCCACAAGCGAAACCGTCACTTCTCAACTCCTTAAAACAGCAGTTGTTGCCAGTTTATGGTCTTTGCAATCAAGTTGGAACATGATGTTTGGTGGGGTTGGAGTTCGAAGAGGTCACAAGATCACAATCTGGGGATGTCTGATTATAAGCCACAACCCAGTTCCCTAATCTTCTAATCTGGCAGGTATCAAAAATCAGGCATCAAAAATCAACCACAAGAAATAGGTTTTTGTTGGGCTTATTTCTTATTCATGGTTGTTATCATCATTAATTATTATCTATCATTATCATTGGCTATCATCCTTACTAGGATAATTATGTTTACCATTAAGATTCTTCCTATTGGGTCTACTATAATTCAACGGCTATCAGTCATTATTTTAACTCTTAGTGGCTGTATTGTTATTTCATTAGTTAGTTGAGTTTTTTTTGATGTTATCTCTTTTGAAGAACAACCGTATTTATCAGTTATCTTAGTTATTTTTTGCCTTTGATTCTTTTATTTATCACTGGTTGGTGGTTTCAACCCCTCTGAAAAATATGAAAGTCAATGGGGAAGGAATATACCATATACTATGGAAAATAGAATTCATGTTCCAAACCACCAACCAGCTTTTTTTGGTACAGCTGCTTCATCAAAAACAACCGCTTTATCGAGTTTTCGGCCTTGTCTCTTTCGAAGATGTGGATGAGACGCTCTGACAGCTGATCGGCGATCTTCAAGATGTTCATCTGAACCGGGTCGTACGTACCCCGGTGAGAGAAACAGGAGGGTATACCCTCTGGTAAACATACAAAAAACTATGGAAAATCACCATTTTTCATGGAAAATCTCACTATAAATGGGCCATGTTCAATAGCTATGTTATTAAATTACCAGAGGGTAACATCAAATGAACAATATGCAGATGTCAAATGATGTGACTATACTGACACTACATATCATATTCCAAGTTGAAGCACATGAATCATATACATATACTGCAGTTGTCTTGGCTTTTGATGCCCGCAGAGTCCCACCTTCTGTCCAGAACCTGTTGGGAACTCGATGAGGTATTCATCCCCATAGTATTGATGAAACCTCCAACATGATCAACATGTTTCCATCATCGGCTCATCATCAGCTCAATCAGCTCTGCGAATCACTAAGCTTACGACTTCTGCAAGGACTCAATGAGAAGGTAATTGATGGGAAACCTGGAGAGTCCCAAATCATCCATGAAGAAATTGACAAATACCCTCTGGTAAACATACAAAAAACTATGGAAAATCACAATTTTTAATGGGAAAATCATGGAAAATCCACTATAAATTGTCATTTTCAATAGCCACGTTAAATTACCAGAGGGTAACATCCACAGCCGACATCCACAGCTGGTTCCCAAGTCGAATTCTCGGAGAGGCACCAAACAGGACCGCGCCAGTTGGAGTTTCCACCCATGATGATAGTTGTGGCCTGTCCACCGCGGAGGTCACGGGTTTAGAATGGAAACTCCAACTCGAAAATGGACGATTTAGAGGTACCCCCCATTTTCCGAAACCTCTAACATGATAATTAATACATCATATTTTTTGGGGGGATTCAAAAAGGTTTTTTTGAACCATACTAGTACCATACTCATTTCCTGAAACCGCTTCAGAAAGGAGAACTCCTCTTTGTCAAAACTCCAGGGCCCTAGTCGACTGATCGTCTCATCTGAAACCACCAACCAGTTCCAACCAGTACAAGATCTGCCTCTGCTGGGTCATACTGAAGTGGCGGGCCATCCCCGAAGGCATAGGGATTCTTGTCGTGGTACTTGGAGAGTCCCTGAAGTGCCAACTGTCTGAACTGTCTGGGGTTGCAGATGGTTGCATCCCAAGATATCCCAAGGTATATTAGGTGACATCTTGAAGAGTCTGCATAAGAATGACAGAGATGACAAGAAGTCTGCACCATCCATTTTGGGGTACCCCCGAATATGAATCCAATATGAACACGGCACTTTTCGTCATTCTCTCGAGAAGCGATAGGCCCCGGCTGGCCAGCGCCAATCTGTTCCTCCGATGGGAGCATCAACGGCGCGAGTGGTGCTCCGCGACAAAGACAAAGTCTTTGAAACAACGGCGAGCTGGAAAACATCACTAGGGGTCAATAGTAGGTCAATATTTCACCCGACCTGGCTATCTGAGCTGTAAATGCCTGCCCATTTTCGGGTATTTCTCCAAAAACTGACTGTGATTTTCCACTGAATGGCTGAAACTCAATATCAAGCAATGCCATTCAGTGGATCCTATCCATGCCTATTCATGATCTATTTTCCCAGGAGTTGATCGATTTTGATCATTTTTGACCTACATGCAAATCATCAACCTTGGCTCGCATCAGGCACCGATTCCAATGCATTTAAAAACTTCTTCTGGTGTGATTTCCTTTGTCACAGCTTTGTAAATCGCGGTAAAGAGTGGGAACTTCTTCTGTACACCGCGCTTTTCAATAATGCTTTGCACCTTGGACCCGAGCTGGATTGTCAAGAAACATGGTCTAAACTGTCTAAATCAATGAATTTACGCTAAAGAAGATGGCCTTATATGTCTTGATGTTACCAAATAAGTCCTGATAAACAAAGGTATATAAACAAAATGAATATGGAAAAAACGATGAAAAAACGATGGAAAAAACGATGGAAATGGCTGTCAAAGGCACATCAAGACAGGTGGATGGACCCTGCAACTTTTGTCCACCAAGGTATGTGGCTTCGATATCTTCCCAGCTTTTTGTGGGATCCTCTGCGAAGGCCTGGGCCTCGGAGAGTTCTTTCCAACACAAAGATCTCTGTAACATCTCTGTAACATTGGCATTCATATGTACATTTACATCTCTGTTACATGATGTTACATGAACATCCACCAGTCATCCATCTAGTCATCTAGTCATCTAATTATCTAGTCATCTAGTCATCGATCATCCATCGATCATCCAATGTTCCATCAATCACCCATTGCTAAATCATCTACAAGTACCATGGATGAAGACCACATCTTTGAAGCAATATGAAGCAATAACTCATCGTATTTCATCAATGATCACTGAATCACTGGGCAACCCAAGGTACGCAGCGTCGGTTTCGGCCACTGTAGCAGGTGGTCAGCAAGTCCGCTAGACCGCAGCTTTCCAGCAACGTTTCCGGAGCTGAGGTTGGAAAAAGCTCCTGGAAGCATCCTTTGGTTGGGTGTTTGACCATCTTAATGGACTGAAGGCAAAACATCTAGTGGAAACCACCATAAACATTTCGCCATCAAATTGTCGGTTTCTAAAAAATTGCCGACCAGTGTGGGACTATGCCGGTTTCACCAACAGTTGGGGGTTTTCTAATCCAAAACAGCTGAATTCCTGGTGATACCAAGGCGTTAAACCCAGCAACATTAGGAATGGAAGCCTAGATGAAACCCTCAGCAAATTTCGTGGGAAGTCACTGAAATAGGCAGAAATGGGGCTGAAGTCTGGGTATATGAAACTCTACAGACTTAACCAACATGAATGTTTTGCAGAGAAGATTTCCCAAAATCTCCATAGATCTGCAACTGACTATCGGTGAAGAGATGGATGTGTTTTCTCCCAAGCGCTATACCCGCTTATTGAATCGGCAAAAAAGTGGCGTCCTGGATGAGGCTTGATGTTTCTTGAAGCCCTCTGCGCAGAATGGCTGCTTTGGTGTTTTCTGGGAACCCCAGGCCATCCTTGGCGGATTGACCCATGGACGGAGCTGGGGTCAGCTTCCACCAATGTCACGGAGTAAACTGACAGTTCGCCATAGAAAATCACCCATCTATAAATGGAGGTTTAGTTCGCTGAGAAAGCCATCTATTTCTATGGGCCATGGCTTAACCATGGCTATGTTAGTCATAACCTGAGGGTACATCCTTAGGAACTCCAATGTTCTCACGATTTGAAGCATTGAATTCCGGAACATCTGCTCCCAGCCCAGCTGCAGAAAAGCCGGCAGCAAGGGCAACCACATTCTTGAAGCCACCGCAAAGCTCCACGCCCAAAACATCCTGCCATTTTTGGTTCAAACAGTTCGGACCAGTTGGGAAATGTTCCAAAAAGATCAACAAGTTGGCTGGAAATTTTGCCGAAACCATTTTCATCCATTGTCCTCAAAATTTGTTGGACATATGTTGGCTGGCCTGTGTGGTGCGCACGGAAAAATTCTGTGAGTTCAACAAATTCCAAAGCACCAGGCTTTGCTGTTCGTTGGAACACCCAAGCGTGGCCTTAGTCATTTTCGTCCATGGCTTCACAATAAGTTGATGACACGTTGGTGACACGTTGGTGACATGTGCTGCAGGAATGGTGCCATTCATACATGACCTACATTGATCTATCAGAATCTATCCATGAACAAAGACTGACATGACCTACATTGATCTATGAGAATCCATGAAGAAAGCCCATCACTTCAATCAGCGTATCAGAATTCAGTGTGGCCAGTGACCTCTGCAAAGTGCTCGTGCGCCACATCGTTGGCCACATTGGCACCTGGTATGGTGGTTGACCTACCCCTCTGAAAAGTGATGGAGTTCGTCAGTTGGGATGATGACATTCCCAGTATATATGGAAAAATAAAAAATGTTGTTGGGATCATGATTCCCAATATGGCAGTGGGTCAAAACCTTGTACCCCTGTAGTTCACATCAAAATAGCTGGGATTTATGGATGTTCATCCCACTAAAAATGGTATTAATAGGTATTGATCCATACCCATATCTCAATGGACTGAAGGCAAAATATCTAGTGGAAACCAATAATAATAATCCCAATAATAATCCCAATAATATTTATCCATATATTTATCATTATTCCCAATATATGGAAAAATAATCCAAATGTTCCAAACCACCAACCAGGCACCATTGAGAACTGCACAGGTCACGTTGAGTTCTGAGGCGATGAGTTGTGAGCCCGTTCGGAGGGATCCATCACTTCGATCGATCTCCAGATAGCCTGTCCGGAAGAAATCTGCCGGTCGCACCGGTTTCGGGAACGGTAAAAGGAACCTGAGAAAATTAACAAAATTGACAAATATCAATAAATACATTGAAATACATTGGACAAAGTACTGTCAAAGTACTGTCAAAGTATTACAAAGTACTGTCAACTAAACTCTCTTCAGAGGAAACGCACATGAATCATCTGAATCAGCATGAATCTCTGCAACATTCTGCATATTCCCAGGCCTTTGACCAAGGAAACTGCAACTGCGTCAGGCAGAACAAGCCCCTTGATCGTCTTCAGCAAACCCGGAAGGAACTGGTGTGGCAACACGAAGACCAAAATGGCTGCCTGAAAACAGATCCCTAGTGAGCCCTAGTGAGCCCGAAGCTGGATTCAAAAGCGAATCAACATCTTCAAGCATCTTCAAGTATCTTATGTCTTCAACTTCTTCAACTAATCTTGCATGAATCGTTTCCAGTGGCCGCAAAAGCTGCGCACATGATCCAAATTCACCCACGAGATGGATGAGCTTGTGCCGAGGTACGTCCTTCACAACCTCGCAAACATCAGGCACCGCATGCCTGGGTCGAACATGATCCAGTTGGTGATCTCCCAAAAATCACGGTTCAGAATCAATCTCAACTTTGGCCATTTGATAATTAATATAGGTGAAACAATGTCAAATACTTTGGCCCCGGAGTATCAAGCACCAAAACATGAGCTACCCTGCAGGTGCAATTTTGTTTGGCCAAATTTCTCTGACTCTGAACGCTTTGAATCAGTGAAGATGAGTCAACGTAAAAGTCAACTTATGAATCAAATTCGTCAAGCCACAAGTTCGGAGGCAACGCCACCCCTGGAAGATACTTCACATTCTCATGATCGCTGTTAATGATCTCGGTGAGCTTACGGCCCTCCACTTCTTCCTCGTGGACCCACATTTCCACACGCTTCTGGAAGTCTGCCCGACGTTGGCAATTGCGGGCGATGATCTTGGCAATAGCACCTGGGAACTACGCCAAAAACTGCCAAAACTGCCAAAGGAGTGTCAACTGATGTCATCTAAGGAGTGTCATCCATCCATCTTCGAAGGGAAAAGCGCAGCTGAGAGACATCCCCAATTGCCAGCTCCAAGGATAGCCACCTGAGAACATGCTTCACCAAGTTGTCGCCATGTCACACAACATACCTGGCCTCGTCTCAAATATGGTGATTTACCTTCATTTTCCGGTCAAATTCCAAGATGCGGATGGGAACACATTTATAAACCATGGGAGTTACGAAATTTTTGGTGCAAAAACACAAATTTTGGTGGGATTTTGACATTGATATCATACCCTCTGGTAAACTAACATAACTATGGAAAATCACCATTTTCAATGGGTAAATCCACTATCAATGGTCATTTTCAATAGCTATGTTAGTCCTAACCAGAGGGTATGTTTTTTTGGTGTGGACCATCCCCCTGTTTTGGGGGACCAAGCACCACCCGATGTGTTTCGCACCTTGATAGCCCTGGAGCTCCGAACGCGTGGAATGGCCATCTCTGTGAGGCTCGAAGGTGCCGCGGCGCCGCTGCAGATGCTGTCCACCTTGGCCAGGAAGGGGAACTCTGCCTGTGCCGCGGATCGACTTTCTTTGGGGGGAAAGACTGGAAATGCCCAACATTATCCAAAATGGATATGTATTATTACTAGTCCATAACAGAAGACTCTGCTAATATGGATTATGTTATCATTATACATTATCCATGTTATTCTTACGTATGGTATATAAGTTTTTATTATTATTATTGTTAATACCCATGACGGATCCGGCTGGTGCTGGTAGAAAAATGCTAACATTGATTGGGGGTATATTGATGGGATCCATGGAGCACCATATATAGCAGCACCATGGATTCTATGGGATGGGAAACACCTGGAAACTATGGGATTTGGTGAAAAACTCAGTGTGAGATCGAAGGATGTGGCAACATCACTAGTTCGATACCAAAGGTGACCTTGAAAAAGGCCACGCAGCTACGCTACCTTTGGGGCCCGCCCAACATGTGGTGCTCCAAAATCGTGGCCTCGGCATTGTAGCTCTTCACGAAGTCCGCACACATCTTCACCACGCTGATGCCTAGGGGCATCCCACTGCGAAGTTGTTCCTTCGCAACCTGCCAAGTTGCTCCAGCTCCGCTGCCTTTCTGGATCTTTTTCTTGGGAAACCACCATTTTCTTGGTCGAATCATGGTGGAATGGCAAGATTCCACCATGAAAATCATGAGTCATATCGATCTACAGAATCGTTGGATTTTTCATGATTTTTCATGATTTTTCATGGAATGGCAAGGCAGGCAAGGCACCTCTTCCCATCCTTTGGATGGCTCTCTGGCAAAGGCATCTGCACAGCGTCTGGTGCGCGAGTCACCATAGCTGGAAGCGATGATGTCCTCACGGAGACTGTCCGATGTGTCATTTTTTGGATAGGAATTGCTGATCTATGCTGATCTGGACACCCATTTTTGTCCAAAAAATTGGATCCATAGATTGATTCCTTCCCATTCAGAAAGCTCATGAAAGCTCAATATTTCCAGGTCTCCATTCTTGATCGTGTCAACCCCAGATGAAGCCCTGGCTTGTGGAGTATTTTTGTGCTGGGGGGTGTGCCGTTTTATTCCTAGAAACTATCACTACGTATATAAGGGGAAGAATCAGGGCTTCACATTCTCGGTTTTCATTGATACATCCCACCCTATCTACAATAGCTATGTTCGACAATTTCGAGATTCTTCGAAACCTTTCAATCCAACAAGAGAATACACATCCATTAACAATCGGAGTATTTTTCTCGGAGGTTTTGCCATGATTTGAGCTACCCTCTGGTTATGTCAAAATAGCTATTGAAAATGGCCATTTATAGTGAGTTTTCCCATTAAAAATTGTGATTTTCCATAGCTTTTTGTATGTTTACCAGAGGCTATTTGCCATGATTTTTGCCATCTTTTCGAGATCATCGTGAATATCACCACCCTTTTCGTGGCTCCGTCAGGCCGCAGGCTTCCGTGAGCGCCTCCTGGAAAGATCCAATTTGCTTTGATGATGGCTTGGAGGAGTTGGATCATCAACATTTCCAAATCAAATCAGAAATGTCAGAATTTGGTATCTTCACTGGATTGGTTTAAGGGAAAATCTTAACCGGAAACCATGGTTTTTACCATCAAATTGTCGGGGTTTTCCTGTAAATCTTCCCATAATCCAATTCTATGATATCTGGTTGGTGGTTGACCTACCCCTCTGAAAAATGATGGAGTGAAAGTCAGTTGGGATGATGACATTCCCAACTGAATGGGAAAATACTTAAACATGTTCCAAACCACCAATCAGGTATATGACCAACTCATCACCAACTCATCAAACTCATCATTCTGCCAGTACAAAAACATGAAGATCGTTTGACCACAGCCATGCTTCAACCACAGTGTCCTTGGAGGAATGCTCTGGATAAAAGCGATTGGCAAACTTGGCCATTTCAACCGCTCCCAGACCTCAAGAAACTTGGTCCGGCAAATTTGCAGAGGAATCCCTGTTCAATTTTTTGAAGGATCGTGCTCATTTGATCTCATTTATATCAATTAGGGGTACACCCAATTTTGAGATGAACACTATCTAGTGAACACTACCCCATCTAGTGAATATCCCCCATATCGTACATCCATGACATACCCCATCGTTCGTGAACACTGGAAGAATTGCAGCACGAAGCCAGATTTGATGGATGATGTCCCAGGAACGAATGATGGCAGCTTTGGTGTTGTGTCCCATCTCAAGACCATCACAAAAGCCTGCCATTCAAACTCGCCAAACTCGGCTCTTGCAGGAGATCTTAATGTAAGCAAAGGATCTTAGATACCTCAGTATGATACCTAGTGGGATATGAATGTTCTCGATTCATTCTAGATTCTAAATATCAACTCTTATCTGTACAGTCTGATTACTCTTGGGTGTCTGAAAATAAGATCAAATAAGGATACCCTCTGGTGAACTAACATAGCAATGGAGAATCACCATTTTCAATGGGAAAATCCACTATAAATGGCCATTTTCAATTGCTATGTTAGTTCACCAGATGATACTCGCAACGTTCATTGGGAATTTGATGGCACTCACCTGCCGCCACAGCGATGATTGATTTCAGCACCGCAAAGAGCTCCACAGCCAATGGGAAGGACAGACCCTTAACGGCGAAGTTGGGCTTGTTGAAGAGTTCCAGCAAAGCTTCGGAAACCTGCAACGTTTCGCCCACATTTCCACCATGGAAATGAAGAAAAATGAAGGATCAAACTGATCGAACAGCTGTTTGAAATGAAGATTGAATAATGGTCGAATACTTGGGGATTAAAGGAAACAATTGGATATGTATATATATATATATATATATAACGAAGAGGGATTATACCATACTATCCCATATCCAATAATATATATATATATGGTTATCTTTCATTGAAATGTGTGTATAGCATGGGATAATCTAACGACAGAGGCCTGAGATACACATCTTATCTTAACACGTGGATGATTCACTGGGAAACCCCCATATCTTGGTGATGACAATCTCATGGTTTTCACGGGTAAAATATGTTGACATATGTTGACGTACTCTTGAACTAGGGTGAACTAGGGTGAACTATGGGAAGACATATCATGACATATCTTTGATCAATGGCAACTTCCACACTCTTCCCCTAGAGCCCAATGGCTCAATGGCTCCGATTGAACTTTCCGATGCCTTGGGATCTTCACACCCCAACGTAGCTTCCGCAAAGTGCCTGGATCAGATCATCCGGAAATGGCCAGGTTGGGTCGGATATGATGGATGACATGGGACAGCCACAAAACCCTGGAGACATGAAAAATTGAACAATCTGATCATCAACAACAGTAATACAGTAATACAATGTAATACATCTCTTCCGAAACAACCCGTTGATAGTTCTTCAATACGTTCAATTCAGCAATCTTTCGCCCCAAATCATCTTGGTTTCTCCGGAAGCTTCACAACTGGACAAGTATCCCTCGAGCCACATCTGCTGCAAGAGTGCCACCCATCAGCACCGCCACAGGCAAACCTTCAGTGATCCAAGTTGGGTCATGACCCAAATTGATCTGGATTTTGAATGGTTCCGTGCGTCCTCAGTGTTGATCACATGGATTGCAAAGAAACCCTGATGATGTCATCATTCGTTCTCAAACTTTACCTCATTTTTTGTAGAAGGGATCCACTAACTTGGGTTTCCCAATTTGACCCTGGGATTTCTTAATACATTTAACACTAGATGCAAGACCTCCTACACCGTGTAGCTGAAATGACCATAGAATCAGAAACAACCAGCAGGTTTTTGGGAAAGTCAAGCCATCCCAGGCATCCCAGGCATCCCAGGCCTAAAGCTTCGCTGACATAAGCACTTCCAAACTTCAGCTGCTTCTCTGTAGACGGCATCAGAATTTTGGACATGACCTGTGGCGAAAATAGGCACGCAGGTAACATCTTGTAACATCTTGTAACGCTTCGGCTTGGGGCCGAAAACATCATGCAACCAATTGAAACATGAGAATTGTATAGAATTGTTCTATTCTCTCAGAGTAGTTGCCTTTCACCCCCATCTGAACCAGGAGACCACTGCAGTGGCTGTGGGCTTTACCTTCCCCTTGAGTTTCTGCATCAACTGCTCCATCTCGTCCCCAAAGACCACGAAAATCAGCAGATCTGCATCCTTTGCAGCCTCGCACAACGGCCAAACCACAGTTGAGTGGGTGGATTTGCATCTGGTGAACATCTGGAAAGATCTGGAAAGAAAGGTAACCAGGTGATTGATGGTAATTCACTGCGTTAGATCCGTTGGATCCGTTAGATCCAAAGCGTCCCGTCCGGAAACGGCGGAAGGCCTCAACAGGATCCACTGTGGCGTGCACGTTGCGTGGCAATCTGAGGCCCGGCAAATGCCTCTCATCGAAGCCCGTTTCGTTCATGGCCGTCACCGTCTCCATGGCAGGAACCCATACGGGCAACGCCTCTTCGAAGCGTTTCAGGTGCAACAAGGATTGCCCAACTTGTCGTGCCACACCGGTGCCCCAGGAACCCATACTGAAACACGCCACCCGGAGCTTCTCTTTGGTCGACTCAACTTCCACCTTGGCCTTCATGGCCTTCAATGCGGCTGTCAAGGAACGAATCAAACACACCACGCCAGCAGGCTGATCTGTGTTCTTGGGCATCACAAAGTGCGATACGGCCTGCAACGATCACTTTCAGCAAGGAGAAGTATCATAACTGAATCTTAGGAATTCAATGTTGGAAGACAGACACTGCAGCCATGGGCATTCACTACAATGGCACTTTACAATGTATAAATGATACATCATTCTAAGTACATCTATGACTTCCATCTATGACTTCGTGATAACTTCGTGATAACTTCGTGACACAAAAATGGTGCCTTGGTCTTTTTCACCGCATTGCCCATGGCACAGGCCACTCGAACGGACTGCAGCATCTCCAAGTCATTCTCCGAATCGCCGATGGCACAGCACTCCGCCATGCTGAGACCCAGCGATTTCTGTAGCACATGGAGCCCAGCTGCCTTGTTGGTGCCCGGCGCCATGATGTCTATCCTGGGTTCACATCTTGGGGCATCTTGGGGCAGTTCAGTTCATCAAAAATGGGTTTTCATGGACCTTGGGATGGACGGCTTACCAGATCTCCGAAGATCTTCCCAGATGCTGATGGGTGCGACTTTGATGGTTTTGGATGGTTTTTGGGGGGTTGATCCAGATCTATTGTGGATGCAAATCGAAATAATATTCAATAATGACCCTTAAAGCCATCTCTAAAACACTCGAAAAATCGAAGTCATAAGTGCCGTCGAACTTCGTGGTGGGCAAGGATTGCGCATATGCCGCATAGCCCGCCACACATTCTGCCACTTGTGGTTTCACCACGTCCATCTTATCCGGATGACAAATGACACGCATCATGTTGACCTGTGTTGGGATGGGTGGATTGTCACTTTGATAGCCGCCCTTCACCTCGATAGGATCCGGATCCTCGATGGGTCCATGGCAGGGTCCCAAGGACCCATACAGTCCAAGATATTCCAAGATGCTGTAGCTTTGCAAGTGAAGCATTGGAAACAAGTGCTTCGGGCACATGCCATCTTTTGAAAAATGTACTGTTACTCATCTAATCTTCAGGATCCACAGCAACTCTGAAAAAAATTGACATAAATTGACACAACTCCAGTGTCAAAACAAGGAGATGCTGCTGGCAAGTTCCAAACATGGAAAGGAAAATGAAAGCAAAGTAACAAAATGTCACAAAAGCAGCCAAGGATCCAGCAAGTGCTTGTGCATGAAAAGAGCATACTCTTCAGAGCGATCCATGACGTAATGATTGTCACCTTCCACGAATAGAATCGATGCCACGTCGCGATGCTTGCGGCCCCAGTCCACCATTTTCTTGATGAGATCCAATGGCAGAGTCAAATTCCTCAGTAGCTCGCCTCCTTTTCCTCAGCGAAGTCTGCACACAGCTATGAGATCTTGAAAACGATCGTTAAATGTCTGAAGGATGGATATATGGATTAGTAGTAATATTATACATGACTACTAATCGTACTAATATCTTAAGGGCCACTTACCCAACCAATTCTGATGCTTTTCCTGAGCCTCTGAAGGCTCTTGTCTGCTCTTGTTGCACCCTTCCCGCAATCATCTCACCACAAGCATGGCCAAGATGCCCTTCACAGTCGTACCATTCAGATAGACACCTTTCAACGATAGTGCAATCATGTGCAATCTATGACAGCACGAAATCCAACTTTCAAATGACATCTGCAAATGCAAGAAATTCTTGCTGGAAACAAACTCAGCGAAGAAGCGGTTGGGAAACAAACTCAGTTCTACCATCTGGTTATTTAACATAGCTATGGAAAAATCACCATTTTTTAATAGGTAAACTAAGGTAAACCATCTATAAATGGGTCATTTTCCATGGCCATGTTAGTCATAACCAGAGTAACCAGAGGGTAAATCCAGTTGAAAATCCTGGGCCTGGCATTCGGTCAATGTCCAAGCCCTTCAGAACGCCACGAGCTGAACCCAAATCACGTCCAGTGCACACCGCAAAAGAACCTCCTGCAGCTTCATACTCTGCAATTGCATCAAAGGTGCCTGTAGCCTCAGGATCGCAGATGATCGCAGTCCCAAGTCATTGGGGTAGCCCCAATCATCCAAGTCATGACCATTTGAGTAAACCCAGGACTTGGGGATCCCCCATTTTTTATGACATCTTGAAAACAAAAAAGCAGATTCTGGACCCTTTTATGATTTTCTACGTTTTCGATCCGTACCTTGGTGCTTCGGTGTTTCGGTGTTTCACTGTGGTTTCACTTGGTGGCCGTTGGAACCGTTGGAAACTGAAGGCATCCGGGCAGCTGGGACATGATTGGGATTTAACAGGGTGCCGTCCAGATCGGATGCCAATAACTTCACAGATGCCAGCAGGGCATCATTGGTGATCATGGCTTGATGGGCTGCTATGGAACGTCTGCAGCTCAGGATATTCTGAATAACAACTGAATGGAACATGTTACAAGATGTTATCAAGATGTATTCAATGTCGAATGGATCGACTATACTTCTGGGGCGATTCGCTGAGATCTTGACAATTTCTCCCGTGTTCAAATGTTCTAAAGGGTCAACAGATATCAACAGTATCAACCAAAAAGGATTGCCCTGGGAAGCAGACGATGTGATCACCAAAGAACTCAAATAATTCTGGTCCAGAGTCCAGGCATCCCCAAAGCCAGCTTTGGCGAAGACCCTACGGAATCCCGGTTTTACAGCGTGGAACAAATCGAATATCTTTGATCAAAAGCTCGGTTTGAGCCAAATTTCGGCAGACATATGTGGCATTGTCCAAAGATCCACTTCCCCCTAGTTCCCCGAACCGATTGATGCAACAAAATCGTTTAGCTTGGAATCGCGCCCGGATGCCGTAGTCCGACAGGAACTCCGCAGGATCCAGCATCCGCTTCAACAGAGCCCTCATCCTGGCTACGGCTGGGTTGATACTTCAGAAATTCCCAGAAGAGTTTCCAACAAAAACGGATTGTACCCTCTGGTAAATCTAACATAGCTATTGAAAATGACCATTTATAGTGGATTTTCCCATAAAAATTAGTGATTTTCCATAGCTATGTTAAATTACCAGAGGGTAAATCCAGTCTGCACCATTTTTGAAGTTCCCACAAAAACACGGAAACCCACTCTTGTTCCGATTCTTTCAGATGCCAATGCTTCTCATCCGCGGAGAAATTCGATGCGCCTGTAGCCCCGAAGAAGGGACAGTAGTCGGCGTTCTCCCCGACCGGGCTGGCAGTGGTGAAAAAATGGGACATGGGGCTGCATACTCCCATGAAAATCAATGAAATACATCATGATAAACAACAAAAACCTGAAATGGATGCACCATGATGCACCCCAACAATTTTTTTTTGGACATATCACCAGTATGGTGAATGATCCTGACCACATGGACCGCCTCTTCAAATCTGGAGACCAAAGATGCCAAATCTGGGCGGTTGTCGAACAGCCACTGCCTGACGGGGCGACAAGATCCAAGGATATCCAAGGATCCACCGATGTCGAACATCAGCATATACCCATGACGGATCCATGGTGCTGGTAGAAAAATGCTAACATTTGGGCTGGTATATATGCTAACATAAAGGGGGTATATTGATGGGATCCATGGCACACCATTTTTCTAGCAGCACCATGGATCCGTCATGGGATATAGCATTGAAATGCATTGAACATCTGCTTTTGAAGGATCTCAGGATCCTGAAAAAGATTGAAACATGGCATTCCAAACTTGCGGCACTGGTTCGGTTCAGGTTCCCAGGCATTTGTCCGGCAAAACGGGGCAATCTCTTCAGCATGTCCTCAGGGGAGCTCAACTTTTGCATGGCATGGAGATGCAGGGTGTGGACAGGAGGTGAACTGAGCACAGCGGCGGGTTCCAAAACCTGACGCTGTGCAAAGAGTGACACAATGTTGCAGTTGCACAAGAATCGACAGCTTAAAAATATTTTTCAACAGCCAACATCATCAACATCATCAACATACAGCCAATAAATATTGCGTCAATCCACTGGAATGCACAGCAAATTTCTGGAGTTTGGCTCTTGATGTTGGGCATCCCACCTCCACAGCAAAGAGAGGAATCAGACCCACAATGGACCGCAGCTTGATGGGTTCCTGAAGTGTGAAACACAGCGGAAGTCACCAGCGATGCCCAGCATCAGATACCAAGCTTGGGACCCTGGTGCCATCCGGATTGGCCAGCACATCATAGTAGAACTGGCAGCCAGGGGATGATATTTGATGATATTTGATGATAGGGATGTTGATGGCTATTTGATGCATCCAAATAGCACTGATCCGGCTGCACCAAGTCACTTTCGGCGGAAGGAGTTTCTGTGAATTTCCAAACGAAAAATGCGCCTCATCTGTTGGATCCCACAAGCCATGCTCGGCGTTGTTGGCAACCCTGGTCATCGCCTCGCTGCAGTCCATAGCTGGCTGCAGTTCAGTCTGGTTCACCCGGCTGAGGCGAAATCCCTCGCAATGAGCAAGAAATGCTCGGCAAATTTGCAGGCAATGCTTTCGTACCTCATCGACTCATCGACTCATCGATGATCTTTTTCGGTGAAATGAAGTGTGGTTCTTTACGGATCCAAGATATACAACCATATATATATACATAATATATATATATTATATTAATATATATATATATATATCCATATGGGTATGACATATTTTGACCCAAACCACAGGTGACATCATGTGACATCTCTTTCCGAAAAATGTGCCCGGTCGTCGTGAATTTAAGCCATGGTTGATTCGGAGTTGATTCGGGTGACTCGCTGGGTTGTTGCAAGAATTTTGAATCACAGGATGGTGCCCCCTATGTGATGTTGGATATGTTGGTTTTATAAACCCCATCAACTATAGTTATATCATGTTATATCTGCCATAAACATCATAAACCATAGAATTCAGCCACTTACAAGGCAACTTAGCATAACTTGGCTTCCTTGGGGGCTTCATCCTGGTGGCAAAAATCGGAGGCGCACACAGGATTGTGCAGGGCCAGTTCTAGAGCCATGCGCATGAGCGTCAGACCTGGGCAGTTCCAAATCGTCAAAAGTTGACCGGTTCCAAATGCTGTGAAAAACAGGCTGTCACAGGCTGAAACATCATTTTTTTGGGCTCTGTTATCTTTGTTCACATAGTGCAAGAAAGCATTGTGCTTTCCTTGGATACAGTTCTGTACAAGCATATGGCTGGTTCTCCTCCGACACTTGTGTCGGAGGTGTCAACCCACCAAAAAAAATAAGAAAAGAATGCCAATGATGATTCAGTCATCAGTGTCTGAGTGTGCAACCAATGTGTCTCAAGCGTCTCAAGCCTCCACTGCTCAGGGTCTGCTGCCTGAACTGTGGGCGCCTTGCGCACTTCACGATGAAAGCCATTTTAGGCCTTTCCCTTCAATGGTCGCATATAGCGAGGCACGGCATATCTGTCGCCAGGCGGTGCAGCGGGTGCCGTGCTGGGCTTGTAGGCTGCTTGCGACAGCGACGGACGTTGTGCTTCTGCCACTTTCACCGCTGGTGCGGTGTAGCCACTGGGACCTCCCTGCCGCCGCTGGGCGCGGTTCGCCTGGGCTGCTTGCGCTGCAGATTGCTTCGGCGCAGTCAGAGAGGCACCGGCCGCTCCCTGCGCGCCCTTGGGGGCGGCGCGGCGGCGTGTGCCGGTACCTTCCCAAGCTGGAGCGGAGTCGCCCTTCTGCAAACGTTGGATGCGACGCACCTTTCCAGTGGTCAAGTTGGTCTGGATGCCCGAGGATTCATTTTCAAAGTGGACTTCAAAGTCGTATCTGCCCAGGGTATAGCGAAGTGCTTGATCTGTGCTGCCATCAAAGGGCTCGTTCCCCGGCATCCATGGGCTCCAACCCTTTTCCAACTCAATCATCCAGTGGTAGTCTCCCTCATAGCTCTTGGTACCGGCTGTGGCCAAGAAGTAGCAGGTGGGCAAATTGCTATCCGCCTTGGTGGCATTTGTTGGCTCCGGGCGCACTTCGACCTCGGGGACCTCGGGGACCTCGGGGACCTCGGGGACCTCGACGGCTTCAACCTCGACCTCTTCCTGGTTGATGCTGTCCATGTTTTCGTGAACACAAAGGTCGGGCACTGAGACACAGGCAACGCAATGGTGAAAAGCTGAGCCAAAATTGCTTTGGTAACTTTGGTATAGCATGTGATAGCATGTGATCGCTGTGATAGCTCAAATGTGAATGTCATCTCAGCTTTGTCGTCAGTTCATGTGTCTCGAGCTTCAAGCTGTAGAAGGCCATCCAGCTGGTTCCATCTGACTGGTTGATCATTCCACCTGACCAGTCATGGTTTCCCATGGTTTCCCATGGTTTCCCATGGCAAACACAAGGCCAACGCCAGGTTAAAGCTGGAAACATCTGCATCTGAGAAACCGTTTGGAAATGGTTGGCTTCTGTCCACCACTCCAATATTGTCCAAACCTCGATTCCGCAGTAGTTTCTCCGCAGCGAATGATGTTTTTTTCATGGAACAACCATTTGAAACCACCATTTTTTCCAAGGCTGCGGCCCAAAAATCCTCCTTGAAAAATATTCCTCCCTTCGGCATCTTTTCGATTCACCCACCACTGAAAGTTCAGCCTGCAAGCATCTGCAAGCATGTCCGTAGATCTGCGTCAGGCTGTAATATACAGTAACCCATGACGCATCCATGGTGCTGGTATATATGCTAACATTTATAAAGGGGGTATTTCTTGATGGGATCCATGGCACACCAACATAAAGGGGGTATATTGATGGTAAATGATCCATGGCACACCATTTTTCTAGCAGCACCGTTAGGATCCGTCATGGGTAAGAGTATCACCATACTTCAATCGGTCACCATGACCCCCGGCATCATCTTGTGGAAGAGCTCTTCCAGGAAGCCTCAGCAACATCCACTGTCAACGCAACATCACAGCCATCCCTTATCATGACTGATGTATAAAATATGTATATAAACATCCTATATGTAATATTATTATAAGTCGATATGCTGATGTACAGATCATTAATCATATTTCATTGTCATTGATCATCATTCCCGTCATCTTCACAGCATAAAATGGTCCAACCATCACAGAAAATGGCCAAAGCTTCACACATTATCCAAAAAAATGAAAAATGCCATGATATTGTCCAAAAAACCCCAGATTTTGGAAGAAAACCTGACTCTCCGTGGCCTTTTTTAGGGTTAGATCCACGGTGGTTGCCACGGGTTGTGGACCCAGGTCCTGGGATCACCGGGGATCACCTGGGGCTGCGGACCCAGGTCTCCGGCGTCGCCACGTGTCTTGCGATCCATCTGAAAGACGCGCCAAACGGCCCAGGCCTTGGCGGCTTGGTGGATCCTAACGGTGCTGCTAGAAATATGGTCTATATATGTCTATATATGGTGTGCCATGGATCTCATATACCATCAAGAAATACCAAATAAATGTTCTTGGCTATGGCTATCCCATGACGGATCCTAACGGTGCTAGAAAAATGGTGTGCCAAATTTACCATATTTTCCCATCAAGAAATATCCCAAATATTTATGTTAGCATTTTTCTACCAGCACCATGGATCCGTCATGGCTATGGCTTGGTGGATGGGAGAAAGAACGGATGTGAAAAGATGTGAATAGATGATCCGTTCTTTCTCCCATCCACCATCATCAAGATGTGAAAAGAACGGATGATGGATCTTGATGATGGTTAACCTGGTTAACTGATGGTTAGATGATGGTTAGATGATGGATAATTATTGACGATGGTGAATAAATGATGGATAATGTCAAGCATTGTCACCAAAATGAACCACTGGGCTGAGTGGAAAGGAATGAGTAGCAGACCATCACTTGACTTGGAGGCTACTCCACAAATTCATCAAAATTAATCACTTGACATCGTGATTCCTCTATATTCATCTTATTTGATCAAGATTCATCCAAGGATGGATAAATGATGGAGGTGGATGGATACATGATGTTTGAATGGTCGATGTATGTCGATGTTGTCTTGCATCGCAAAGAGATGGTCATAAGTGGTCTGATTCGATCACTGAGATCTCTTCTGACTTTCAATGTCTTCGCATCAACCCAGCCATACAACCACATGACACATATCAATCTTGGAATCTTGGCAAAGAGTTGAGAAACAAACGCATCTTCTGGACTTTCCTTCGGATTTTCAAAGCGGTTTCCTTCGGATTTTCGAAAACGATCCCTCGCTGGTTGACATCGACCAAGGTTCCAACGTGCACGGGAGGATTCACATCATTGAAATTCCATTCGTAGGCTGGGAGCTGTCCATTGGGGTGCATAAACCTCAAAACTGCGGAACTGCAGAAGGGAGGTCGGTCATGGGGGAAGGAAGTCTGGCCAACAGATTGTGGGCTTGATGGCTATGCTTGGCTTGAATATGCTTGATGGGCTTCAACAAGCTTATTCAATTATATATATATATATATCCATTATCATCCATTATCATTATCATTATCATCCATTATCATCCATTATCCATTATCATCCATTAAACATCAATTGTATCATCCATTATCATCCAATCTTTTGGACATGTCATCCACCATGGGATGGAAACATCCCAACCTCTCAGAGGTTAGGAGGCGCAACTGCTCCTGCCAACTGCGCTGATGCTGAAAGGGGAAGCTGAATACCAGAGGGTAATTCATGATCATCAATGAGAATCAATGAGAATCAATAAGCAATGATAAACAACGACAAGTCATGTTGATGAGAACTCATGGGGGTTCCCACCTTGGCAAAACCCGGATCCACCAAAGCCAAGGGCAAGCAGTGAAACGCCAAATCCTTAGCACTGGAGCTATGTTAGTCACATCCCTCCCAGATCGAAACTGTTCTGAGATGTTCTGAGTGACCCGGACCCAGGTGGCATACCAGGGATACTCCCATTTGTCCTGAGAGTTGCAGAGTTGCAGAGTTGCAACTGTCAGAGCTTGGATTCTCAGATATTCTCAGCTTATGTTAGCTTGGTTGATTATGTGATCTTGGGCATCTGACAGGCATGGAGATCACATCCAAGTTGTAGAGATGATCCCAATCTTCGTTTCGACCGCCACGGCTTGGAGGTGTGGGATAACCAGCGTCACCTGGTGGGATCCGATCATCCGGTTCCGGTCATCCGGTCCCCCTATGGCACCATGGGCACCATGGCACCATGCCTTGTAGCCAGGAACGGATGTCATAGTAATACAACCTCGCTGGCAGCCCAACTCAAGCCCAACACATCTAGGAGCCCCCCAAAAAACCATGTCGCGGCCAGCGCCAAGCAACTGCTTTGTCCACACCATGCCAGCCAGGGCCTCGCCGTCACAACTTCAAAAAAAGTTGGGATATGTTGGGATCATCAGAATCATCAGCTGAGTTCGCGCCTGTCGGTGAATGATCCTGCGCTCCTCCGAATGAATGTCTTCCTGCAGGAAGCCGTAAAACCTGGCCGTGCTCTCTTTCGGGAGCAAACTGCAACTAGTTTGGACAAGTTTTTGGATCTAAAATCATGGACCAAACGGCAACTTTTCATGTCTTAAAGGCATAACATGACCATGTGAAAACTCATGAAATGCATGGTGCCCTGCTGGGAAAAAAGGCAATGTTGTGCCACCTGTCGCAATCTTCTCTTCTGTGCTGAAGCAGGTGGCCGAAGTCAGCGAAAGCGCTCTTTTCAAAGCCTTCACGGTTTCGAAAGAATAGTGATAGTGTCTACCAAAATTTAGGGATATTTAGGGTTATTCAATGAAAATTTGAAAATTTTCTATCTGGTGAGTCATGACGAATCTTGATTTCCATGACATCTTTGGATCTCAGAGACCGGCTCATTTCTGCACGGGTCAGCCGAAGTCTGACGCTCACCTGACTGCCTCCGGCCACTTTGTGCCTGGTGCTGTAGGTCACATGCGAAGGTGCTTCATCCACTGGAAAATCTTGACATGTCGTGCTACACACACATATATTGTATATATATATACACACATATGTATATACATATATCTATATACATATGTATATATATATATATACATAGATACATATATACAGTACTTATATCATATACCAACAACAATGAAAGAAGATGATTCTCAGGTCAGACTCACCAGCCTTGTCAGCAAACCCACTTTGGTGCCATTGCTACTGGACACAGCTGCCTCACAGCCATATCACCCGTCGCCCGGACCCCCCCAAAACAACGGATTTCATGGGATTTCCCATAACTTCCTGTGGATTTCCAAACGAAGAACGGCCAAAATCTCTGGATTTCTCATCCTGAACGCTGACGACGCTGTGGCCATCCCATCCCCACATCAGGTCGCATCAGTCGCAGTGCCTGGTCTCCCCGTATCACGTAGTCGTGAAATCCGTCCTGGATTCACCATGACGGCACAGCGACAGGGTCGACACAGTGATGGCAGGTGACGTCGGCAGGGAGGGTCCTTGAAGGATCCAGAGCTTCGACCACTCAAATGGAAGCGAAAACCTTGATCTTTCCCAGTTTCCTGGGCCTAGGCTGTGAAAACATTCAAAAACCACAAGAGTTGGGCAGAAAATCACAACCCGTGACACTCTGATGTCAAAAAAAACAAGCGGATTCACAGTAGAGTCTTGGTTTGGATCATTCTTCCAACCATTCAACCATTTTTAGGAATGAGATGAATATGGTTCATTATATTTATTGCAGTATATTGCAACATGTTCCTTAAAAAAACACTGATATCAACTTGCCCCAAAGTGCACCGCGGCTTCGCGGGATCTCTGGGTTGTTCTGGGTCTCTGGCTCCATCAGGTTTTGGTCCCAAACGGGTTCCGAAGCGACTGTGGATGCTGTGCCAAGCAGCTCCACCCAAGCTGCGGAAGTCGCCATACTTCATCAGCTCCTGTCGGAATTGCTAACTCATTCACCATCAGGAAATGATTTTTCATAATCATCATGATATTGATAATCCATGATAATCCTGGGATACATGTATGTATATATATATGTTTATATATGGTTATTATATGTTATTATCATGATTATAATCATTGGACTATAGTCATCATCCTCTTTGTCAGTACTATGATTATTGTTGCTATCATTATTCAATAGTAGTATTTTAATATGATAGTAATGATTATTGTTACTACTCTTGAAAGATTTGTTGCTATCATGATGATCATGTATTTTAACAAAAAATATTTCAAGAGTAGTAGATTCTTCGTAGATCACCACGTGATCTCTGACACAATGATGTACAGCCGCTGAAATGATCGGGCCTCATTCTTCGCCACTGGCTCAGGCTCCTAGGAATCCAATGGTCACGATTCCAGGGTACTGGGTGTACTGGGTACTGGGCCCTCCAATGGCTGATTTTGCGGAAGCAAAACCACGTAATCTTCAAAATTCGTCAAATCTTCCGACCTTTGAAGCTCAAGAATCGATATCTAGATACTTCTAGATATCTATAGATATCTAAAATAGATATTTCACTTATGCTATCTTATGCTCATATCTTAAGCCACACAAAGGGTAATCCGTAAAAAGCACCGGCGACACGCGCCTTGTAAGGACTTAAGGCTCCACCCGTGGCGCGGGCATCGTGGGTCTCGTTTTCGCAGAAGATCACCTGACGAAAAACGACGGTGTTTTGTGCCACTTTCCAATGACGGATCCGGCTGGTGCTGGTAGAAAAAATATATATATATATATCCATGTATGGTATATATATAACATATATATATATATATCCGCCGACCCCGGCAGACGCAAGGGGGAGCGCGCCAGGGAATAAGACATTGTCCCATTTGCCAGCCATTCGAAATTGACGGCCGCAATGCCCCTGTGTTTGGACTTTTCCTGTGATAAGACATTGTCCCATTTGCCATTCGAAATTGACGGCCGCAGTGCCCCTGTGTTTGGACTTTTCCTGTGAACAGTGTGGATTTGGTAGCTTTGCCACACCGGGAGGTGCTTTTGGTACTCTTCTTTCAGCAATAGCAGCAGCAGCAGCACCACCACCACCAACACCAGCGCCAGCAGCAGCAGGAGGAGGGAAAAGGTAGCTAAAATCATCCTTTTCTTTGGGTTTCAGAAGTTACATTAGGCATTTTTTGGGCGCAATTTTGATGCCTTACCGCCCCTCGCTGCCATGGTGTTTTCCCATCCGGGAGCTAGCATTAGAACAGAGGGAGCAGCAGGAGCAGGAGCAGCAGCAGCAGGAGGATGGAAAAGGTAGCTAAAATCATCCTTTTCTATTGGTTTCAGAAGTTACATTAGGCACTTTTTAGGCACTTTTTTGGTCGCAATTTTGCTGACTTTCCGTCCTTCACTGCCATGGTGTTTTCCCATCCGGGAGCTGCCATTTGAACAGAAGGAGCAGCAGGAGCAGAAGCAGCAGCAGCAGGAGGAGGAAAAAATTGCTAAAATCATTCTTTTCGATTGGTTTCAGAAGTTACATTAAGCACTTTTTGGGCGCAATTTTGCTGCCTTTCCGTCCTTCCCTGCCATGGTGTTTTCCCATCCGGGAGCTGCCATTTGAACAGAAGGAGCAGCAGGTTTTCCCATCCGGGAGCTAGCATTTGAACAGAGGGAGCAGCAGGAGCAGGAGCAGCAGCAGCAGGAGGAGGGAAAAGGTAGCTAAAATCATCCTTTTCTTTGGGTTTCAGAAGTTACATTAGGCACTTTTTTGGGCGCAATTCTGATGCCTTTCCGTCCTTCACTGCCATGGTGTTTTCCCATCCGGGAGCTGCCATTTGAACAGAAGGAGCAGCAGGGGCAGAAGCAGCAGCAGCAGGAGGAAAAAATTGCTAAAATCATTCTTTTCGATTGGTTTCAGAAGTTACATTAAGCACTTTTTGGGCGCAATTTTGCTGCCTTTCCGTCCTTCACTGCCATGATGTTTTCCCATCCGGGAGCTGCCATTTGAACAGAAGGAGCAGCAGGAGCAGGAGCAGGAGCAGGAGCAGGAGCAGCAGCAGGAGGAAAAGGTAGCAGCAGCAGCAGTAGGAGCGTCTTCAGCAGCAGGAGAAAAAAGTAGCTAAAATCATCATTTTCTATGAGTTTCAGGAGTTACATTAGGCATTTTTGCGGTGCCATTTCGAAGCTTTTCCGTCTTTCACTGCCATGGGGATTTGTCGCTGGGAGTGGTTCACTTTTAGGTGTCGCAGCTAGTCACCAGCAGCAGCAGCAGCAGCAGCCTCAGTAGCAGCAGCAGCAGCAGCAGTAGGAGCGTCTTCAGCAGCAGGAGAAAAAAGTAGCTAAAATCATCATTTTCTATGGGTTTCAGAAGTTACGTTAGGCATTTTTGCGGTGCAATTTCGAAACTTTTCCGTCCTTTACTGCCATGGGGATTTGCCGCTGGGAGTGGTTCGCTTTTAGGCGTTGCAGCTAGCCACCAGCAGCAGCAGCAGCAGCAGTAGGAGCGTCTTCAGCAGCAGGAGAAAAAAGGAGCTAAAATCATCATTTTCTATGGGTTTCAGAAGTTACATTAGGCATTTTTGCGGTGCCATTTCGAAGCTTTTCCGTCCTTCACTGCCATGGGGATTTGCCGCTGGGAGTAGTTCGCTTTTAGGCGTCGCAGCTAGCCACCAGCAGCAGCAGCAGCAGCAGCAGCAGCAGCAGCAGTAGGAGCGTCTTCAGCAGCAGGAGAAAAAGTAGCTAAAATCATCATTTTCTATTAATTTCAGAAGTTACGTTAGACCTTTTTGCGATTCAATTTCGGAACCTTTCTGTCCTTCACTGCCATGGGGATTTGCCGCTGGGAGTGGTTCGCTTTTAGGCGTCGCAGCTAGACACCAGCAGCAGCACCTGCAGCAGCAGCAGCAGCAGCAGTAGGGATCCGTCCTTCACTGCCATGGGGATTTGCCGCTGGGAGTGGTTCGCTTTTAGGCGTCGCAGCTAGCCACCAGCAGCAGCAGCAACAGCAGCAGCAGCAGCAGTAGCAGTAGGAGCGTCTTCAGCAGCAGGAGAAAAAGTAGCTAAAATCATCATTTTCTATGGGTTTCAGAAGTTACGTTAGACCTTTTTGCGGTGCAATTTCGGAACCTTTCCGTCCTTCACTGCCATGCGGATTTGCCGCTGGGAGTGGTTCGCTTTTAGGCGTCGCAGCTAGACACCAGCAGCAGCACCTGCAGCAGCAGCAGTAGGGATCCGTCCTTCACTGCCATGGGGATTTGCCGCTGGGAGTGGTTCGCTTTTAGGCGTCGCAGCTAGCCACCAGCAGCAGCAGCAGCAGCAGTAGGAGCGTCTTCAGCAGCAGGAGAAAAAAGTAGCTAAAATCATCATTTTCTATGGGTTTCAGAAGTTACGTTAGACATTTTTGCGGTGCAATTTCGGAACCTTTCCATCCTTCACTGCCATGGGGGATTTGCCGCTGGGAGTGGTTCGCTTTTAGGCGTCGCAGCTAGACACCAGCGGCAGCAGCAGTAGCGTCTCCAGGAGCAGGAGAAAAAAGTAGCTAAAATCATCATTTTCTATGGGTTCCAGAAGTTACGTTAGGCATTTTTGCAGTGCATTTCGAAGCTTTTCCGTCCTTCACTGCCGTGGGGATTTGCCGCTGGGAGTGGTTCGCTTTTAGGCGTCGCAGCTAGCAACCAGCAGCAGCAGCAGCAGCAGCAACAGTAGGAGCGTCTTCACCAGCAGGAGAAAAAAGTAGCTAAAATCATCATTTTCTATGGGTTTCAGAAGTTACGTTAGGCATTTTTGCGGTGCAATTTCGAAGCTTTTCCGTCCTTTCCTGCCATGGGGATTTGCCGCTGGGAGTGGTTCGCTTTTAGGCGTTGCAGCTAGCCACCAGCAGCAGCAGCAGCAGCAGCAGTAGGAGCGTCTTCAGCAGCAGGAGAAAAAAGTAGCTAAAATCATCATTTTCTATAGGTTTCAGAAGTTACGTTAGACATTTTTGCGGTGCAATTTCGGAACCTTTTCCGTCCTTCACTGCCATGGGGATTTGCCGCTGGGAGTGGTTCGCTTTTAGGCGTCGCAGCTAGCCACCAGCAGCAGCAGCAGCAGCAGCAGTAGGAGCGTCTTCAGCAGCAGGAGAAAAAGTAGCTAAAATCATCATTTTCTAATTTTCTATGGGTTTCAGAAGTTACGTTAGACA